ACAACATGGAGAAGTGAAAATTCTTGACCCTACCGATACTCGAACTCCGACATCTCGGTCGTTCAGTCCGTAGCCAGTTGTTTAACGCTGTATAGTACCTTAGAAGTCAACCGACGTTTCAGGGGAATATCGCCCCTTCAGGATCGAAGAATAAGCCGAATAAGATACCAGTGTGAAAGCATACTTGCTTGCCACATGCTCGGCCTATTTTTGACCCTGAAGATGGAGGCGATATTTTCCTCCGAGTCATCGGTTAACTTTCAGTGGACCGCACGGTGTTATATCCCACAAAATAGTCCGCTTCATAACCACACTTGTAAGAATCTCAAATACTACAATCAGTGTTTTCTAACGGTAATAGGTAATGTCGCACACACTTCTCTTGTTTCGCTGTGGCATTCAGCGGGGTGCATGAACCAGGAACCATCTCCATATGAGGCCCTAGCTGGTTTACAGAAGACTAACTCATTTCAGTCGCTACATACAGTTCCTATAACTTATTATTTTAGTGTTACAGTTAGTAACTGTGGTACCCATAACGAACTTACGGTGTGTTGTGTAGTTCGCCACGCGTGTCAGACAGATCTGTACATGCAGCTGGTCTTATCAGACTCCGTACCAAAATCAGCGACACGCAAGAAGATTATGGGACTTACTGACAGAATCAGTGGTGAACAGGAACATGTATCAGACTTACTATCTATATGTGTGGAATTCTGGTGGATATGTCATACCTACTGTCAGCATCCCTCTCTGGTATATAGGTAGGTATATCAGACATGCTATAGGTAGTTGTGACATACAGGCAGATATACGTAACATGCTGTCGGTATCTGTGGCATGAAAGTAGACATGTGAAACTTACTGTCTGGTGTGAGGCATACAGGCAGATATACGTGACATGCTATCGGTATCTGTGGCATGAAAGTAGATATGTGAGACTTACTGTCGGGTGTGAGGCATACAGGCCTGCTGTCGGTATCTGTGGCATGAAAACAGATATGTGAGACTTACTGTTGGGTGTGAGGCATACAGGCAGATATACGTGACATGCTGTCGGTATCTGTGGCATGAAAGTAGACATGTGAAACTTACTGTCTGGTGTGAGGCATACAGGCAGATATACGTGACATGCTATCGGTATCTGTGGCATGAAAGTAGATATGTGAGACTTAGTGTCGGGTGTGAGGCATACAGGCAGATATACGTGACACGCTGTCGGTATCTGTGGCATTGTACTGAGGCCACTTCTTGCCTATTGTACCAGCACCAGATGATAGGTGAGGGTGATTGTGGAGGAATTGGTGGAATCAAGATTGGCAGGGAAAACCGAAGTATTCGGAGAAACCCTGCTCCAGCGCCACTTTGTCCACCACAAATCCCACTTGACCAGATCCGGGATCGAACCCGGGCCGCCGCGGTGGGAAGCCAGCGACTAACCGCTTGAGCTATGGCGCGGCCCATGTGAGACTTTGTCAGGTGTGAGGCTTACAGGCAGGTAACCGACTTGACCTCAAAGTAACTTGTAGTTTTAATGTTCATTTCTGCAGGTTGGAAGTCATAACTTCTTTAATATTGCTACGCTAAATATAAAAGGCATTCAGACTGTGCACAGTGTGGACGGCTGCAGTCGTAATGTACCTATTTACTCCTGTAAATAAAATATTTCATTTTATTTCTCTATTAATTCAGTCTTGTGCGCAGTGTAACTTCAGCCCTGTGTGTGTTGATTAGCAAGGTCACTCACGGTGGATCATTTTATTCCCTTTTACCATTCTCAGCCTCCCGTCTCTTCCTTCTTCTGTCTACACTACCGGGAGAGCTGTCGGGGTTCGATTCCAGGAGGAGGCAAAGATTTCTGTCTTGTACCACGTGCGCAGACCACCTCTTTGTTCTGTTAATTCTTCACAGTTGTCGTAAGTGTTCCGATCGTGGTTAAGGATAAGAAAAAAGACTCCAACCCAGATCCGTCAGTTCTGATGTCCTGTTGAGGTAAAACCAAAGGGAGAAACAGGTGCCGCTTAATGAGGGCAGTTGCTGACACAGCGACCTTGACTACACTTACATTCCTGTGTCCAGTCTAGCAAGGTCGAGTTGTGCCGCAGCATCCCCTACGTATTTCGGCTGCTTCCCCCACCACCTCACTTTTCATTTGACCCGTGTAATAATGATCGTCCCAATAAGTCCTGTTTCCCCTGCCCGCTGTCTCAGACACCTGTTTCGTCAGGTGGTCCTCCCCATTACTAATTTGTTTTGTGAAACATCGACGATTCAAAAACGTGTTCTTAAAAAAGTTCGCGCCATCGCTACGATGCGGATAAACTTCGCCTGATTGGCCGCCGCTCTGCGAGCCGGTTGGGTGGCTGGACACGATCAACGCAATGCCTGAGCTTTACTGGAAAAGGGGTCTATCTCAACTTGGCGTTGCATCGGCAGTATCATGCTGTATAGCCTTGTCGATATGGAGTTGTGTTTCTGTCTACGTCTTCAGGGAGACGGCTGGTAGCCCGATGAGGCTTCGTTGCATATTGTTGCCATGAGTTTCAGATCATGCAGGTTTATAGTACCGTAATGTATAGTTAGAGCGGGTGTCATATGAGTGGTGCGAGGTGTATGTAGGTGCAGCTGGCAGGCTAATATGTACCCAGCTCTTGGGCGATGGCATCGTATAGATGTACACTGTAATACCGACGTTTCGGAGATCAGTAGTTAAGGTGCAGTCACCCCAAAATATTATTCATATTGGCATTGAACTGCAGCGAATCCCTGAATTCGTTTCAAACACTTATATCAAGATGTATTTCTGTCAGAGCGCAACACAAGATTGTTACAGTCACTTTAAATTTTATTGACGTGTTTCGGCCGTATAGTGCGGTTTTTACTAAATTTAGTAGGGCGACCTATTTAAATTTAATTTTAATAACTAAAAACTAACTCCATGGACTTTAGTCCGCAAGCGAACTATACCGACCGAGCGACCGCCGCTTGTCGCCGAAGTTAGTGCCAACTTTAGCGGATAGAGGGTGTCGCGTGGTCAGCGCAACGGATTCCCACGGCCGTTTATCCCGGTTTTCTAGATCGCAGCCGCTACTTTTCCATTCACGTAGCTCCTCAGTTATCCTCACGAGGTTGAGTGCACACCGTTCCCGACCCACTACTTCTCAGAAAATCTGGTAGTGCCTGGAATCGAACCCGGGCACTCTGGATCTATAGCCAGGAACTCTGACCACTACACCACAGAGGCGGTCATAAATTGAATTTTAATAGCTATTCTAATTTTAAAATTCAGACAGGCAGTGCAGTGAACATTTAGCATAACGAGGACACCTGATGATATCCATATACTGCCGGACATGTTGTGAATAAAGATTAACCTGACTGTAACAATCTTGTGTTGCATTGTGATGGAAGTATATATATTGATGAAATAATTGATATTAATGCAATAGGATGCTAAATCATAATATTATGGGGAGGATAATATTGAAGTGAAGCTTACAGCAATAGACTGTGGATATAGAGGGAACTCTACTGAGCTGACCCAGAATGGGGTCCACGGTGAAGTCTGGTGACACAATAATTGGGCTTTGAGGTCCTCAAGAGTCTGCTGAGTGACATCTCACTGAGCACCCTGCATCGTGAAGCGATTTAGTTAATAAAATAAAGCGAGCTGTCTTGAGCATGGAAAATAATATATGGGAGTTGATGTTTTCACTACGGTAAAAGTTTAGATTGTGACCCTGAATACGGTGACAGCGGGTTCTTCCGAAATGTTGGTGTGCCACATACCGGACTTCGTGGCGCCGTAAACCAGAAGACTACTGTCTGTATGGAGAATGTAGTGCTATTTCTGTGGGCCCACTGTAGGGCTGAAACGGGCAGTTAAGGGACGTGGATATGCGTGAGAGTGAAGCCATACATTTGCATAGGCACTGCGTACTGAAGCCATATAAAGCATATGGAGGCAATCCTCCACGTGTTATTAATTTCTGCTCTAATTGAGGGGAATAGGACTGATCGATTCTTCTTGAAAGCGAATTGATTGATTCTTTTGTAATGGCGTCAGAGCAATTCTTGACTCAATAGAACTACAAGTGATTAAAGAAAGTCACTATGTAGGTAGTTCCTTTACCGACTGAACTGTACCAACATCGTCTCTATGTAATAAATATGTCGTCGGAAAATTAATCTGTCACCCAAATCCGTTATTTTCAATGTATGAAATACAGATCTCTACTCCACATCATCCAGACCGGCCCTGGTGTCCACCCAACCTCCTACCCAATGGGTACCGGGGGCTCTTTCCCCGGGGGGTAAAGCAGCCGAGGCGTGAAGCCGACGACTCACCTCCGGCTAGTGCCGAGGTCAAGAAAATGTGGATCTATACATCCACTCCCCCGTACCCCTTCATGTCGTAATGCTTAATTATTTAAGCACAGGGACAACTTTACAGATGAGAGCTGAAGAAATTTCGTGCATATCAGAATTCACTTCAAAACGAAAGCTGCGTCACATAAAACCAAAGGACAGTGGTATAATTGTGATAAACTGTAGAAATTAGGTAACTTGAGAATATATGTGATTTGAGGTTTCACACAACAGCAAATATTAGGATTTCGGTCTGAGATGTGACGCCGTGTAGCTTGCTAGATGGGTATCGATGTTTCGGAGAAACCTGCTGCCTCCATCTTCAAGGATTTCCAATCTCTAGATGGAGACAGCGTTGGTACCTGTCTGCCAGACTACACCACATTACGTCTCCGACGACTGTAGACTTGAGGATGTAGTTTATTTTGTCGTAGTCCCATATGCCATTCTTCCATGACGCTGTTTATTTTTGAAGCCCCCTCTACTCCTAACCTCCCTTCCCCTTCTCACCAGGCAGGTAGCTCCTTGCCGGAGGCTGCAATCTCGGTCTCCGTCTGCACCATACGGTGATCGCTTCTCTGTCTCTCTCTCACTCCCTTGATTTAATAACGTTAGTACGAAAGGCGCTAGGCAGGCGAACCTGTTCTCAAATGCCTGCAGCAAGGCTGTATGTTGGAGTTGACCAGTGGGTATTCTACTTGCTTGCAGAGTGGAGCTGTTGTCGCTTCTCTGCGTCGCCCCTAGCCGTGGGTCACCGTCGTCATGGGGCAGAACCACCTGAGGATTTGTTCATAGCATCTTGGGAAACTGCTTGCCGTGGTGTACTGCTTGGACAGAACCCACTGACCAACAAGACCAAGACGAAGGTTCGAACCAGCAGCCTATAGGATGGCTAGAGAAGGACCCGAGCTTTGTCACCGTTATCAGCTACCACGTCATCAGGGTTGTTGGTCCGCTCCCAGGAACGCGACCGTCCAACCCTCCTCAGCGCGGTCCGACCATGACCATGCCGTGGAGTCGAACACACGGTCAGGCGACTGCTTGAGGAGAATCAGTTCATCAGCAACATGTGTAATCGTGGCCATGTGACTTGGTTTGAGAACGAGCTCTTAGCTGCATGGTTTTAATGTTCGTGCATGAGTTGTTTTTATTTAATTACGTAGCATTGCTGATTGCTTGATGCTTGTGTGCTGTGTGACGGACAGACTAACGCGGTTGTCAAGTTGTGGCGACAATGACTGCAGCAATCCGCAACAATTGGCTGGTGCTCATCTTGTCCACCGTAGCGCTGGCATCCACTATAATTCTTGCAGACAAATCTTCAGAGTTCGTCAAGGGGAAAAGTAAGTAGATTGAAATTACTGCACGTAGACCGTTTTATTGCATTGGTATACATCATAACACCTTATTTAGAGTGGGTTGTGAAATACACCGTACCATCAGAGCCATACTGTAGTAATGTTTGTTTATTAACATCAGTGTAACGTGTTAATTCTTGGTAATAAACGACACTAATTACGTTGACCCCTGAAATAAAAATACGGAATGTTTATATCTGTGTGCTTCAAGAAGCGCTGTTTATCAAAAGCACAAAACTATTCGCTGTTCGTTACATTTTCATGTGCCGAAGGCCAGCGATGTAGCTGGTGCATAAATTCAGTTGATACTCGTCTTTCATGCTTCAATTACGGTTTGTAGTCTTTAACATTACTTCCGTCGTGAAGGACAAAACGAATTACGTGCTCAGTATGGGCTTGCAAGCCGTGAAGATTCGGTTAGAAGTAGTGGGAAACCATTTTCGTTCCACAGGGCCTCTGATGTCATTTATTGTGACCACAAAACGATATTTTGATCGTAATAATGTCCAGACAAAGATTATAAGATGAAATCACACAAACGTCATGAGGTATAACACTGATTGGAAATAATGGCTCCTTCCAGCACTTGTCTGTTTCTACAGTACTTCATCATATACACCTGCTGTTTTCACATGTTACCTCTCCTATATTTTTACACGATGCAAAGATGCTTGGTAATTATATTAAGTGTAGTTTTTAGTGTAAATAGTTTACGGCTGGAATCCATCATTGCTTCAACTACTCGTATGTGTTGAACCAGTGATGGAAAACTGTTCGTCCCGCCACTGCATCGGATTCAAACAGCTGTGACGCCGTCAGGACAGGTTACGCCCTTTGCAGAACCGCAGTCCACCAGGTGAGTGGCGCTCCAGTCGTCGTGAAGGGAGATTACTGGTAAGACACGGTCGCAACATGGAATGAAGCGATCAAGTGTCTTTCTGTTCTCCCCTCTTTTGTTGCAACTTGTTCTCAAATATGATCCATATGATGCACTCTCCCATTTCTCAGGTATGATGAAATGTTCAGTTGCGTCTTTTATTTCAGTTCTTACTCCTGTGTAGGCCTAATGGAAAATATTGTGCTTGCATATTTTATTGCAGATGTTTTTACATATACTGAAGTGTCTTTCTGTTTGTGTAAATTCTTTTGGAATTTACACCCACTTACTCCAAGAGACATTGAAGTGTGGTTGTATTTGCGTTTTGGAACTTGCACTTACCGTAAAGTGTCATTTTATTTGCGTCTTTTGTTATCACATTTTTATTTTTCGAGGACAGAACAGTGTTGACCACGGTTTAGGAACTTAACGTGTATATCTTACAAGTGTCCTGCTGAAGTAAGCGATAGTTAAAATTTAAGTCTGCCTTTTGACCTACAGGATGCTATAGACTTCAGTACTCTGTGATTGGTCAAGTTCCTCTTGTTTTGGTATTCACAATAAATTAACCACAAGTTTATCACTATATGTGGTTTCGTTATGGGTTTACTTGATGGCAATACTGCATTGGTGTGTTATGTCCCTCCTGTAATCTGCAGTTTAGTTCGCGTTTGAAACTTGGATGTTTATATTTAATGTACACGTATCTTTTATGCGAAGTTCGCGAATTGCAGTACCTTGCCCTGTGAGTGTTAATTTTCAACAGTAATTTCCTTTCGGATTAAAAATTTTTTTTTTGCATCTGTATTTATGTATTTTCTTCTTGTATCTTCTTTACACAAAGGGAACAGCACAACGCCAAGCCATTAAAGTACGTTTCTGTTTCGTATATGGTGTGCTCGAAGAGAAGTGAGGACTCTAAAGGAGTTACAAGTTTCAGTGCCAATCTGCATTTAGGAAATGACCTGTTATCTCGTATATGTTCATAACGCTCTTCAGTAAACCACTATTATCATTTACCGGAAGATGTATGTGTGTTTTATTCGGCACAGTGTCTCAAGTCCCAGACTTTTCTTCAAATTTTTGGAGGCACTGAAACAGAAGATTTTTCAAGATCAGTTTGAATGTGGAGGAGGCATTGTGGCCTATTCTATGATATCTCGGAGTCGCACAAGGAAAGACAAAATCTCAGTAATTCGCTGGGAGGCCTATCGGATGCGAGGACACTAGCTAATTCTCCTGAGATGTTCAAACATAAGCATGGGTCATACTTTTCGCTTATAAGTACATTCAGATTTAAGGAGTAACGTTTGACTCTTACAGTGTGCGTAGGTACTGTTAAGAAAATTGTTGTCAAAATTTCATGTTTAGATTGTGTATTGTAAGTAGTTTTTGTGTACCGTTAATATGGAAACTATATAGGCCTACAGAGGTGTACGCTGACAAATGGGTGCGTGGCTGCGAAGCATGATGTGTGTTCATAAGAGAGGAAGGTACGTGGAAGATACTTGAGACGGTGGCTCTGAGGAGAATACAGTAAACCCTCATTATAACGATCCCGGGTGTACGGGACAAAATTTGGCTATGAGCAGTTGTGAATTTGTAGAGATTTTAAGACAATAAGAAAGTTTTGTAGTTAGAAAACTACTTGAAATGAAAAAGGAACCGCAAAGGAAAAGCTTGATGCAATCACATTATGTTTATTTGGTATTGGCTGTGTAGTCTGTGGTTTACTTCCGTGAATACCCCCTTCACCCGGTTATACGAGATATTGGCGGTAACGGACACCCTGCCTTTTCCCTCATTAGGCCACTATAACGAGGATTTACAGTATTTTGAACTAAAAGGGAGGAAGTAACAGGAAGCTAAGGTGAACTGCATTGTGAGGAACTTCTTAGTTTGTCTCCTTCAGCGGGTATGATCAAACCGAGAGGGGGGGATATGGGCGAGGCATGTAGCACGTATGGAGAGATGAGAAATGCAAACATATTTTAGTCGATATAACTGAAGGGAAGGGGCGTTAGAAATGGGAAATGAAAGTAGTGTTGGAGATAGGATTAAAGTGACTCAGGTTAGGGTCCAATGGCGGGTTCTTGTAAACAAGGTAATAACATTCGGGTTCCATAAAAAGCAGAGAGGTTCGTGACCAGTTGTACGACTATCAGCTTCTGAATAAGGCAATTCCTCCATGTAGTAACTTGTATGCTCTCCACGAATGTAAAGTAGAAGTATAGTTGGAGAAATTTCTGCTTAAAACTGAGCGAGAATTATGCCTTATTTCTTAGTCAATATTCTCCTTACTAATACAAAATACATTTCTCTCTAAATGCAATAAATGCACATCGAGGCTGATGAATTATGCAAAATTGCAAAGAAAAGAAAAAGATGCGTCTGGAAAATGCGTGTAAGACTACACTGGATCGCAACTTTATTAAAATAGCATTGTTACCAAGACTGCATGTTTCCGTGGTGTTCTATCGGCGTTGGACTCGGGACAGTTTCTGCGTAGTTACTGGACGCGGATAGTGAGAAAATGTTTTCACACTTCGGTGACAACAGCAATAGACTTTTACACAACAGGTAAACAGAAATGGAGAATGTACATATGAGCATAGTTCCTCATAAATCCAAGGCCGTTATATGCATCTTTTCGAAGGCCGTGATGGCAAAGCGGTGTGCTAGGATTTTTGCTTGATCCACAGAGGAATATATATCTACAGTATGTGTCATGAGTTTGTGTACAGATTTACGATTATGTTTGTTTTATGTGTCTGTTTTTTCAATTATTTAACCACTATATATCAACTACAAAGTAGTTTTGAGTTCAGCGACACGAGGATAATAAGGTACGGTGAATTGGAAAGGAATAAGTCGAGGTATACGGATATTTCACCCTGTTCTGAACTTGATTTTGAGAGACAGAGGAGAACCACAAAGACATCAGGGTAGCCTGCTTCCCGAAAGGGTGAGATTTTAACCAGGTAACATTTGCTGTTTATACACTACTTCTCAGGATCTGGGATAGCCTACTCGGTATAGGGACTGGCTACGGGCTGGACGACCGAGGGGTCGGAGTTCCGAGTAGGCTATCCCGGTAGGGTCAAAACTTTCTCCATGTCGTTCAGACTGGCTCTGGGGTTCACCCAACCTCCTGTCCAGTGGATACTGGCGTTCTTTTCCCGGGAGTAAAGAGGCCGGGGCGTGAAGCAGACCACTTACCTCCAACTAGTGCCGAGGTCAAGAAAATGTGGATCTATACATCCACTCCCCCATACGACTTCATGACGTCCTGCTTAATTAGTTAAGCACAAGGACAACTTTACCCTTTTTACATTACCTCTCATTCTAATGTTTTCGGGACCAGGGACAGGCAGGGGTTCGTTTAGTCCATGTATCGTTTTAGATAGGTTCCACTCTATATCAGGAACATGATCCAGTAAATTATCCGGTACAGTGCCTTGCTTTTATGGGAGCTGAAAGCTATAATTTGAGAAAAGGCATTGTGAGGCGCATGGAACACGAGCGCCATTAAAATTCCACTGTTTCGAAAGATAATTCTCCTTAGCTACTTTCTCGTCTTGCTTAAACTGCAGGCTCGGTGATTATGCTGCTATTGAGCATGCGGGATGGTGCGGAGTCAGACGTGGTCTGTACGCTCAGTTGTGGGCTCCAGCTGAAGGAAGAGACGCAATTACCACGGAACGTGTCTTGTGCTCACCTCGGAGTACAGTACCTCCCGGTTGGCGTCCTCGCCCCGACTTTTGTAGGTTACTCTGGCACTGCTTTCAAGTGGCTGTTTGTCAGCTTCCCACCGGTAAGGCCCGGGTTCAATCCTTGTACAATTTATGTAGGATATATGGTAGGTATTCTGGCACTAAGGAATGTTTTCTTCTGCCGGACATCGTTGTCATAATTGGGACAGCATTAGAAAGTAAAGTAAAAGTAAAGCTATCCCTGTAACAGACCGTGGAGGCCCCTAGGGTTGTGAGATGTTGAGGCTCCCACATTTTCTAGACAGTCGGCTCATAGACGGCGGCAAGGTTGTCAGCCCTACGCGCCGGCCGCCCTTTACCCCAAATAACATTCCAAGAATATTTCTGGTACTCAT